AGACATTGTTAAAAGCACATTCTTATAGAACTCGACGAGCTGAGTTCAATGCTTTTTTCAGATTTCAAAATCTTAATTGAAGCGAGTTATAACGAAAAAACGAAAAAAACGCGAATTTGCGTTTTTCGCGTGTTTTTTTCGATTTTTTACGGCGAGTACCGTAGTTTTCCACATGGTTAGACTCGCCACAGAGAGACGAGTCCAATGGTGTAGAGCACCAATCATTTGACCCGCTTTGGGGGGAGTTATGAAGGGGCGACGCTTTGCGACGCTGCAAATCCGTCGCTCAGCGGAGAAATTTCAAAAGTTAGTGGCGGTATTGTACCTCCTTCGTATATTGTCGGAACGATAATGCTATACCGTAAGTTATTTTAAGTTCCTTAACTACGTCACTTTCAAAGGAATCCTTTCCGGAAAAACCATGCATTCTTTCGCGTTGTGTTGAGCTTGAAGGAATCCTCTTGCATTCTTTCTTAGCATGAATGTATCAGTTTGTGATACACTAGAGACAACATACAAAGTTTCACGCACAAAGATTCAGTTTCCGAAGAGAAACAAACTTACAAAAACTACACTCTATGGACAATCGAAGGTAAGTGGCGCGAGCCAAAGGCGGGGCATGGAAAGAAGTCCGCCTTGGGGCGGCTACGTATCAGGCGACGCAATGAAAGAATCGCGTTGAAGCGTGCGATTTTGGAGAGTAGAGACAAATCGATCGATAGAGGATAGGATGCAGTAGAAGTGTAAGATGTGAGCAATAAGTGGAAGGCAAGAAATAGTCTCTAGTGACAGCAAAACCATGGTGAAAGCGCTTCCGTCGCCAGCATTTGTGACAGATGTCCGGCGGTACTTTGAACGCGTAGCAGCCCTTTCGCTTTTTCGAATTTTTTTTTACCAAAACAATTTTTTTGTTCTATTTTCGTTCTTACCGTGAATGATGGGTCCCAAGCCAGTGAATTATGGGTGAGAATAGATTCACGATTTTTCCGTGAAGGATTCTTTCAGTGGCTCCTGTTCTCCTGGTTTGTAAGTGTTCTCCTCTTAACCGGACGTCACAATGATCTGTCATCGTGGAACAGCTACGTGGGTTGGCCATCCTAAATGTCTCAAAATCGCTTTTCTCCAGATCAACGTCCGACTTCACATTGCAAAGACAAGTCGTCTCTATTCAAGGGAAATTTGAATTTTTCTATTGAAGGGTTCCTATTGATGGAGAGTTATTGGTCGCCCTGCCACGAATATGACACCAGTTGTTGGCGTTCGCCCAAGATTCACGCCAATTTGCATCATCTTGGCGCAATCTTCCTATCAAGCTCTTTGAGGACATCCATACGAGAGTTTTCCAGTATCCAAATCAAGAATGTGGCATTCATTTTTCGCACCAGTCCAACTCGTGTCAATCTGTGGCTGGCACCAACTGACGTCAGTAAACAAGGGAGACCTTTCAGAACATGGAGCGCTTTTTTGAGATGGTTTCCTGCATGTTGTACAGGCTCATGTGAGCAACGTTTTCCCTGGACGCTTCAAGGCATGTCAAAATAGTGATGAAAAAATGGCAGCGGTTCAATCCTTCCAGCGTGGAAAAATTCCAAGAATTTATATTTGTGCCTACAAATTGACGCCAAACTACGAGGGTGATACCTATTTTGTCGCTGGCGTCATTTGGCAGCAATCTGGAGGCGCCAACCTAAATTGCAAAAATTAGTCATCACGGAGGATCGAACTTTGGACCATTTCTTCACCACTTTTGACATTCCTAAAAGGCGTTCAGGAAAAATGGACCATGGTCTGTGTTCCTCGCATGAGCCTCTGCAACATTCAGGAAACCATTTTGGAAAAGTCCTCCTTTGTAAGTGCTGGCACCAAGAACGAATGCAGTATTGATAGCTCTCGTAGGAGACATTTCAGCAGAATTTGCTTATTTTTCAAACTTTGCTCATTTCAAGTCAATGTCCGCAAATGGCCACACTTAGCAGTTGAACGGGTGGTCTTCGGAAAACGCGCACGGTCGCGAATGGGTCAAAGTCAAGAAGCGTGAAAAAGGCAAATTGATGAAAAGGGAGATACCAATGAATAAAGAGAGTCACCTTGATAATCGCTTTCGAAATCTAGTGAACACGTGATATAAACAGGGCAAGCTGATGGGCACCCCTCGTAGGCATATAAAAGAGCATGGTGAGAGAAATTTAATATGACAAAAATGTTGTTTGCCCTCCTGTTTCAGGGCTGGAGTGAAAAGTGGCCGCCCGACGACCTCTTTTCAGGACCTGTTCGACAGGTGAGCACCACTTCTGCTCCAGTATTTTTTGATGCCTCCTGCTTTAAACACGTTGACGACAGCGTGACGCGGTAACGCGTCCCACCCAAGTCTTCCCTTTTTCTTGCGCTTGTGCGACTTATTCCTAAGGTCTTTGTACTCATTCTATACATTAGCATACTTAAAAACCACATGGCTCACAGAAAGGCCAAATATTCTTCAGTTTGGCAGAGTTTTCCAGACCTTACGGATATGTCTGTTCCAGTTCATTCCTCGTTTTCTTTTCATTAACTGATACATGTTAACACGTTGTACGACAGCGCAGGACACATACGTCCCGCACTTTGCAGGCCATGACGGACAACGCGGGACGTATGTGTCCTGCACCCATACGTTCCTTTTTTCAGCGCACGCGTGATTCTTTTATAAGTTTATTGTGTTTGCTCCATGGAAGAAACCCTAGCTTAGCCACAAACATAGTAGCTCGTGAAATGGTCACGTATATTTTAATTTAGGAGGAGGATTTTCGGCCCGCACGAAATTTTAAGTCTGATAATTTTTCGTTCCCATTTTCTCTCTCATGAATATAATAAAGGTTAAAAGACTAGTAGAAGTAAATAGGTGTCCTTAAGAATGATACATAAGAGATTATTATTATATATATTTGTCGTTAAAATGATAAGTGAAATCGCTTTTGAGGGTCAGTTGTAAGCTAATTCTGGTCAACTCATTTTCATTGTTATTTCAAGTATTTGTATCGAAATTCCATTATTAACCCTCTTGCAAGCGTTTACTCACTTTGAAATCACTGTTTCAATTTTGCATCACCCATGTTTTATGTATTTAGCACTCAAATCCGCTCGAATTACCTGAGGCGTCCGCGCTTGCAAAACTATCCTCGGTCCCACGCGGCCAAAAAAGCCAAAACGTTTCATTGTCGTCAACGTGTTAATAAAAAGGAATAATAGAAGCGAATACAAACCTATTCGTATGAGAAGATATGTGTTTTTACTGAAACAACCACGTCCAAATTAATTTTGGAACCACTAAAGGGAAATTAAGTAAAAATTCCCTTTTCATGGCCCTAGCACACGTCAAACTTTCCCATTCTCTCTAACCTTGTCTCATAACGTCGACAGATCGAAACATTATGAATACGTTTCATCGCATTTAGTATTGCGACTTACAGCGGCTCAAATCCATGCTTTGTGTGGCGGTGCGGCGCTCGCAAAATCGGCCTGTCTCATAGCGCTGCAAAACACCCCCAAAACGCGCTGTTGTCAACGTGTTAATGAGTCCAGCTCCTCATAGGAGAATCGACATCGATCTACTGCCAGGAAAAGATAAAAAGTAAACAATTGAACCGCTTGCTCCCGTTCCCATACTCTCCCTCCTCCCCCTCCTAAACGTTTGTAAACTCTCACTGTGCATGCAGTTCAGTTCCGACACAGTCCTAAACAGTTTTTCGCGCCCACTAGCCTATAGCTCTGACCTAGTCTTGACAGGATGCCTTCACATGCTCGCCACTCATCTACGCCCACCTCCTCGAGAGAATTTACGGCGGCTAACCACCGTGAATGTCAATCCATCGACATGTAATCATTGTTTGAGCAAATTCAATGGGATTTTACAAGAGAGGCATTGAGGATCTACTTGCCTGAGGGAATAAGGTGCAAACAAAACCGGCCAGAGGTGGCTTACAAATTTGTGCCAGTCTTATTATTCAGTTCAATAGTCATTGCTATGGGGAAGCCACCTTATTCGTGTAGAATCCTCAACACCTGAGCAACACTAAGAAAAACTGAAAGGTTAAGCAAGCTACTCCAGCAGACCGTGCCAGAAACCGTCCATGGAGTTAAGTGCACCTTTTTATGACCGGCCAAGATTGCTAATAAAAGCACATGCTAATCTGCTTAGTGGAATTTACATCGAATAGGCATAACACTGTGTCAGACTATTCCACATAGTCACCCCCATTAACCTCGCCCCCTCCTTCTCCCACCCACCCCTCTATCAAAATTAATTATCGCAACTACAGTAATGCAGACAGTTTGCAGATGAAGTCGGCTTCTCGGAGTGATAAGTCAGCGAAGCCTACAGAAGCTCAGGGATCAGGTCCCGGTGATTCTTACCGAGAAAAGCGGAAAGAGGGGGCGAGTGAGGAAAGAGAAAAAGGCAAGGACTCCCGTTGCATCGCAAAGATCCGATGGAGAAAGGCTTCCCATGAGCATTCACAGCAGACCAAGAGCATCCAGAACGTCCAGCACACGATCATCGAGCAAAAGTGTGAAGAGCTCCCGAAAGGAGAAGTCGGCAGAGCATGGTAAAAGATCTTGTGTATGTTGCTGTAAGAAGGTCATCGAAAAACAAGAAATCGCAGTCAAGAAGAAGTGATGGCTCCTGGAGATCTGGTAGATCTGGAAAATCTGGCAAATCTGGAAAATCCGGAAAGTCAGGAAAATCAAAGAAATCGGGAAAGAATTCAGAGAAATCGGGAAAATCATGCAAATCTGGGAAGTCAGGCAAATCGAGAAAATCTAGAATATCTTGCTCATTCCGAAAGGCTAAAAAATCGAAAAGCTCATCCACTAGATCGCAGGGGTCCGAAAGGAATGTTAGTGAACGGTCAAAACAAAGGAAGATCCGATCGAAGAAATCTCATTCGCGTCGTGAGTTCAAGTTGTTCAATACTCTTCTACACGTTTTCCCTCCAAAATAGGTTAGGCTTTCCATGGCCCACTGCAATCGACACGTGTACTTCGAGTGCAATTCCATGCTGAGCCTCGAATAGAATAAGCTTCTGCATAGTGCAACAACCTCAGATCAAACTGGTGGGGTAACAGTGGCCGTTAACCCTTTGGCGACAATGGCACCCACCGGTGGGTGCCACTATGACCGTCGCGTGGGACAATGGCACCCAATGGTGGGTGCCACCCTAAAATTTTCTTCTTTACCCATTTAAAACATTTTCAACATATCAGTAATTATAAGCAAGCTCCGTTACGCCTATGTTTGGCATATTTTGCAGAAATGTTTGTTACTAGCTAATTTATATGAAATTTTAGGATATGGCACTTCGCCCGGCGATGCATTAACTAGTGTTTTACATTATTAGGCTTGAGGTGAACTTCAGATCAGACCTCTCTCTTTCAAACAGCTTAAGACACAGCGGTTAGTTTGTTTGAACTATATCAAAAACTTCTGGAGTTTTCGAACACCATCCTCTGAAATCCGAGATTTCTTTCCAAACTTGGGCGCGCCGAAAAGAGGCGTGGTCCCACGAGCACGCTACGTGCAAATCCGCATCGTCAAAGGGTTAATGAAAGAATACCGAATTGACCGAAAATGGAAAGAGAAGCAAAGCAAACCTACAATGAAGCCCTCAGTAATACTCCCCCTTCTCCGTGAAATGAGGGAGGTGCCCGGACAAGTTGTACAAACTTGCTTGTGCCTTGTAATCCGCGTTGCGTTTCACGTGTCATTAGCTCACATTGGCCCGTCATTAGGAGCCGGGGCCCTCTTGGAGGCCCTAGCGCCATTTTACGCACGGCCAAGCCGCGACAACGGCATGACTTCACTGAGAATTTTTATCTGTCGGTAGGAGAGAGTACTCTACTGACTGATAGATGCTCGCACGACCATGTCTGTGTTGTTGCTTTGATTCATTTGAAGCGATCTGCACTGGCAGACCTGGCGTCGCTGGGAGCTAAGAGAACTGTTCCCATGACTATGTCGCATGAAGGGCTCTGCCCGTCGCAAAGGGTTACACCACGTCCAAATAGCCGCAATCTGGCATGGTAGCCTCCCGAATCACATCCAGCGAAGAATCCACAGAAACTGTAAGAAGAAAAGTGACTAATAGTGAATTAGGCAGTGCCTTAGATTTATTGTCGAACGACTCATCCAAGTATTTATGAAGTTCCTTCACTAAGGTCACCTTCAACAGAATCTCCGGAAAAACCATGCATTCTTTTCGCGTTGTGTTGAGCTTGAAGGAATCCTCTTGCATTCTTTCTCAGCATGAATGTATCAGTTGTGATCACTAGAGACAAACATACAAAGTTTCACGCACAAAGATACGGTTTCGAAGAGAAACAAACTTACAAAAGCTACACTCTATGGACAGTCGGAGGTAAGTGGCGCGGAGCC